TAAGCACCCTGAGCTGCCTAAACCCTGTCCGTACAGCTAGGGAGAAGGGCTGGCCATCCAGAGCAAGCATCTCCCCAATTCTCTGGGTGATCTTGCCTGTCTTTGCAACAAGCCCCTGTTTCTATCTGCCTTTGCCGTACTGTTCCAGGGTGGCCTGCCTCTGCTTCTTGGGGACGGGGGCTTTCGAGCAAGATGGGGACTTTTTTTGGGGCATGCTTCCACTGGTGCCAAGCTGAGGAGGAGCAAGGGCAAGGGGGTGATGCCTCTTGAGATGCATCAGCATCCCTGTGGTGCTGAAGTGATTCACCTTTGTGCCCCAGCTGGTTTTATATTGGCAGTGCAGGTAGATAGCATATGTGGGACCGTCTGCCACCTCAGAATGATCCCACAGCACACTAGCCCCTCGCCTCTGGGGTGCAGGTGCAGATGTTGCCTGATCCCCCTTCTCAGCAGGCAGAGGCAACAACAGGAAGAGCTGACTCAGCTCAGCCACTTGCCTCCAACCTCAATGTCAACCTCCTCTGAACTGCACTCTGGGGAAGGAGACCTGGCTCTAGGGGAACTTGGAGAGGAGTGGAGCAGAAACTCAGATTCCTTCTTGGTCCCCAGAATTTTTGCTAGAGCACTCGGGTCCCTTGCTTCCAGATCCAGCTCCTCTTTTGGCATTGGAAGGCTCAGACTGGGAACTGAAATGGGCATGGAGGAGACTCTCATGCTGGGTGTTGTTATTGTGGCTGGTATTATCGAAGAGGGTGCAGACACAGGCACTGGTTCCACCTCCTTGCTGCCACTAGCACCAGAAGCCTCATGTCTGCTAGTGCTAGGAAAGAGGTGTGTCTAAGTTTGGGGGAGGGGGAACTTACAGCTCTCCCTCTGCCCCCTCTGGTTCCCCTGCCAGAAAAAAATGCGTCTGTGTGAGTGTGTGTGATGTATGCGTAGTGCTTCCTGCAGTATGCAGTGATGAGACAATGCCAGGCAAAGCACTGCTTTCTTTTTGTTTACTCAGGGTAGGGGGAATAAGAAAAATAACAGGATTTTGGGGGAAGAAAGAGTTGCAAGGGATAGGGAGGGTAGCAAGAGTAAATAGGAAAGGATTGGCTACAACTTGGTAGGAAGGCACTACCAAGCTGCAAGCTTACAGATGCTGCTTCTGCTGCTACACAGACACAGATGCAGCTGCAAAATGGCAGAGAGCAGTTCACAAACAGCCTTTTATGGTGCTTCTCTGTCCCTCCCCCAGAGCACTGGGATTGGAAGGGACCTCAGGGACAGATTGTTGTCACTGGCCAGCTACAGATGTTAGTATCAGAGCAGTCCTTCCCCCACGCCCCCACCCCACCCTTAGT